ACTGCACACAGAGCTAAAGGCTCCCCAGTCCCCTAACTGCACACAGAGCTAAAGGCTCCCCAGTCCCCTAACTGCACACAGAGCTAAAGGCTCCTCAGTCCCCAAACTGCACACAAAGCTAAAGGCTCCTCAGTCCCGTTACTGCACACAGAGCTAAAGGCTCCCCAGTCCCCTAAATGCACACAGAGCTAAAGGCTCCTCAGTCCCCTAACTGCACACAGAGCTGAAGGCACCAGGCACTTCAGCCACACAGATGCTCTGTGGTGCACGGCACCGCACTGCGAACTTCGCGGGGATGCTGCACCTCAAGGCAGGGCGAGTTTCTCTCTGTCAGCAGCAGGGCGAGGGACACATGCGAGGAGCAAAAAGCAAACAAACAGTTCAGTCCACAAGCGGTGGGAGTTGTTTATAAATTTCGGCAGAGCAGACCCGATCCCGAGCAACCCCCGCTCCGCATCGCTCCCAAGCACCACCCCGGCCACCTCCGGGCGTGCGGCAGCTGCCCGGCGGGTTTTCCGGTGCCCCCGGGCCCTTACCCTTGTGGTGGGTGATCATGAGGACGATGGGCACAGAGGGCCGGTCGCTGAACACCTCCGCCTTCTGCACCAGCGCCTCCCGCACCGCCCCGAAAGTGTTGAGGATGATGAATGGGCGGCTGCCCACGAAGAGCCGGAAGATGCTGCCGTACATCTTGGTGAGGCCGGTAAGGAAGACGTGGGGCGAGAAGGCGGGGGAGAGCCGGTCGCCCTTCACATCCACCGCCCACCTGCGCAGCAGCGAAGGCGGCAGAAGGGCGAAGGCGAAGTTGCCTACGAGCGGCCAGGGCGCGGGGCCCGGCGGCAGCCCCGACAGCGCCCGCGGCCACCGCCGCAGCAGCCAGTAGCAGCCGAGCCAGCACAGAGCCACCAGCAGCAGCTCCGTGGCCGTGGGCGGCCTCAGCAGCCACGTCCGAGCTTCCGTGCTCGTCCCCGCCATCTCCGCGGGCAGCGGCACCGCCGGCCTCGGCTCGCCGCCGGCGCGTAGCGGTTTAAGATGGTGGGGGCGGGAGGCGAGGCCGGTGGCGCCCTGACCCCGGCCCGCCGGGCCTGTGGGCGGGGAGCGGGCCCGGCCCCGACACCGCCCCCGCGCACGGCACGGCGCGACAGAGCCCCGGTTTGTAAAGGATTGAAGATTAACCGCAGTCCTGCTCGTGGGAAATAAAACCAAAAAACCAATAACAACAAAAGTGAGCGCTCCTCCCCACCCCCCCGCAGGACTTGCTTTCAAATGCTCCTTACGCAAATTTCTATTTTTTTAGCTGTTTAGAGGGGAAGGAAATGCAGATGGATCCTTTTTCCCTGTTCCCGAACACAAAAATCCGGCAGTTCGAGGGAATACACCGAAACTTTCTGTTTCCATAGCCAAGGACGAACCTAGAACCACGTCCCAGCTTTAGGTCCCCTGCTTGGCAAATGCAAAACAGTACAGTGAGGCTTCAAAGAGAGGCGCTTAAATGTTAGAGGAAAAAGACATGCAGCTCTCCTCCTTTCCCTCAAATAAAACAATAATAAAAACCTCAAACACAGACACAAAAACCCAAAACACACCCAAACACCCCAATCCCCCAAACCCACCCAGAAGTGGTGTTGAGGGTAACTTTCCCCTCCCTCTAGTAAACACCTTAGTACACTCTTCCCAGCTGATCAGCAATATAAAATTTAACCCCTAGAGAGGTAATTAGACATCATAAACTGCCACTGTCTGATCTTCCCAATAATTTACTGCAACATCAGTGGGTTTAGTAAGCACTCTTGCTGTACCCTCACTAACAGAAAAGTATTCATGTTTTGCCCACAGTGCTCCTTCTATAAAGTGATCCCCAAAAACAAAACCATGAACAGAATAAAGGGAGCTTTCCCAATAAAAAGGGTTTTGCTAAACAAACTATTTTTTTAAACAGTTGAACATTCAGTAAAGATAGTGACAAGTTGCTCATAAAATAGTGGCTAAACTGCATTAAAAAGGTTTTATTGCAATTATACAGAAGTTACAGCAATTTCAGAAATACATAAAGCTTTAAATAGTCAAGGTCAGTTTTCCTCTGAGCAATTAAGGCAACTGTCTCTTTAATCTAAACAGCAAGTGGACATTATACCAGCCATGGAGTGAACAAAAGATAAAAACTAAGAACAGATTTAGACTGGCAGAATTGAATTTAGCTTTTATTTTCTCCATATTTGGCAGAAATTCAGCAGCTAATTACAATGTATACAAATAAAATGCATCTATTAGAAAAAATATATAAAAACAGATGAAAATTTAGCTGAACTAAAGATATTTTATATCTGAGTCTCCAGAAAAGTTTAAATTCTGTAGTGTAAAAATAAGAAGCTAAGGTATTCAGCACAGCTGAAACACATGACTGTTTTTGTCTGTTTTCTTTGTACAAGAGTAATCTAGCCCCACTTCCTTCTCAGTGTAGTCAAGAAGCTGAACTAGATTTAAAAAATGCTTTCCTTCCCTATGTATGCAGCTGAAAGTTTGGTTTCAGTGGCATATAGCCAATTCTAGGATGTCCAGAGATTAAATTGCACATTAATTTTGATTGAAAATGTGATTAATTTCAAAATGTTAAGTGATAAAATATTACTTTTCCTCTAACATACCAGTAGATATTTCAAGTTAAAATAATAGCTGTTGCAACATTAAAATCAGTTTCTCCAATTTAAATTAGAACCAAATAGCCTCTTGTAAAAACATGAAATTAACAGCAAAACATATCCAAGCACTTTTCTAATATTCTGCATACTCCAATAACTACATATACAAGCTTTAGTACTACAGTACTTTCCATGGAAGTCCTTCCTGTTCAGTCCTAGCATCAGTGTAATAAAAAACACACCCCCTTTAATTCTGCACTTAAGGAAACACCATTTTTCAAACTCTTTTAACCCTAACTGAGTAATCAAAGCATTTGGTGACTCCACTTCTAACAGGTCAAAAAATAGCTCCACATAACAAGCAAACAAACATCCCCAGCAGAGTAAAGACTATCATGAAAAAAGCATTAAAAATAGAATAATTCAAAGGAACTAATTTCTCCTTAAAGATAACCAACAGAGTTAAGGCCCAAGCAGAAGCACTGGAAGTTTAATTAACACAGTAAACTCTCAAAAGCAACATAATATTCTTTGCTCAAACTTAATCTTTGAGTCCTATCAAGGCTTAGGACTGTTGACCAGCTGCTCTCTGCAGCTGCTGACTTAGCACCCATTCTCTTCAAGTACGGGCTGTGGTTTTACATGCTTTATTTGAGCTTGCATGCAACTTTTGGATTTTTACTTCCACAGGCACTTTATTCATAAAAAACACTCTCCTTGTCAAAAGCACATTGAAAGTATTTGAAAGTTCTGAGTTACACTAATGCACTGAAACATGTTTCTGTAACACAGCAGCTAAAGCTAAAAAAACCCCACATTGGTGAAGTGCATGTCACATGCTCATAAAGGTTTTGTTTTTGCAGGGCATTGAAACATGCATCCATTTGCCTCTTAATATTCTGTAAATATTGCACTTTTTTTGTAAATTAAAAAAATACAGTAATTTTTCTCTGAAACATCTAGTAATTACAATAGGAAAATTATATTGCAACGTGACTTAGGACTATTATGGATGACTTTGTTCAATCTTTGGCTTTTCCAAGGGCCCTACTATAAAAGCAGGCATGGACACAAGTAGGAAGACAATCCAGACTATTGTTACTAGACTACCCACCTTCACACAACAAAAACCCCACCCAGCCCTGGTTTTATCCCAGGTGGTGGGCTTGTTTCTGCTTTAAATTAAGTTACTGTGAACCTGGAATATTCTTTGCACTGATAGAGAAGTTCCATCAAATAGATCTCAGAGAAGCCCCTTTACTTCTTGAAGTACTAGGTGGAAGTGATAAAAGAGAATTTATTCTAGTATTTGAAGCATAGCAGCATGGGGTACCACCCTTTCAGAGTAGAGGGGTGTGCTGCAGTGCCACCTGGCATGGCACCCACTCTGCATGTTCACATGTCCACATGTATTAAGGGCATCATGCTCCTCTAAGAGCTGACCCCAGCAGGATTTCCACACCTGTCACAGGCAGATACTTCACAACTGTAAGCTCACAAGTAAGGGCCTTGAACAAGAACTAAAGGCTCTGTATTCTCTGGGGATAGGAAGTGTAGGTACTGCTGCCTAAAAATGCCTCTTGGAAAGATCTGGAAGTGTGCTGTCCATTATATACAATAAAATCACAAACAAAGGTGGGGGGGAAGGCAACAATAACTTCCGCAACAGAAGGCACAAGATAGTTTTTCATATTAAGAAAAAGTTGCTTGTGAAGCTTTCAAACGAAGCTAGAAAATTACTTTGCTGTTTCACTACCTAAAAACAATCTAGATTAAGGTTCTTTCACATGTTTTTATAATGTCCTACTGTGAACTGCCTTGACAATTATGTTGTTTCACTTCTGTTCTTTAGACAGCTACATGGTCATATCCATCACAAGTTGTTTGGGTTTTTTTTAAAGTTTTAGTGAAATATACATCTACACTATATCATCAGTGACCTCCTAATAAAGCTTTGTCCTCTTCACATCCTCTCCCTCTGTCTCCAAGGCTTCAACAGTGATGATGAAGCCAGAGAATTATTTTATTTAAACTGCCAGCCTGTCCCTTAATCCTGCCTAGTGAAATTCTTATATTTTAGACAGTTTCAGAAGATTAGCTATCTTAAATATATGAAAATTTAGAATTTGACACGTAATTTAGAACAATATACACTCCTAATGTTTTCCTGCGTTAAAGTACTATTTTTTGCCATTTTTATATAAAACAGAAATAGAAAAGTGTTGTATTTATATAAAAAGCATTTGGAACAGGCTTAAAATATAGAGAAATTTTATTTTATTGAAAGGTGTCACAGCAGCTTTCCTGAGTGTTCATGTTTAATAAGAGAATAACAGCTCTTTATAATATTTGAGATTATTAGCACCATAAATAGATATAAAGTTTTAGATTTTTAAATATGTGGGTGGTTATGTAAATAGTCCACCTGTATTCATTAGTACACAGGCTGACAATAAAAAAATTCAACTTGTACATGCCAAGTAAATAAGTAAAACACATAGGACAATTTCTTCAACATGTTTTACCGAATTCACAATTGGTAAAGTGACAGACAGTGAAGTGACCATGACAGACAGCACCTCTGGAGGGAAAAGCTACAAGATGCTCCCATTATTGCTTTTTTTAAAAGTACAGCTAGTGCAATAGTTGGTTTTGGTTTGGGTTTTAACACAGTGAACAGATTGCAGCACAAACCTCAACTCTAGCTCTAGTACCTCTTGCACATACACAGCAAACCATAACACTCAGTTACCTGACAAAGTATCAGTTATAAAGTGTCATCCTGAAAGTTTGACAACATAAAAGCCAACTCTTGCTAATTGTGAAGAATTTCTATGAAAATGACACCCAATTTGCAAAGATCAGTAGAAACTAGAGCACCAAAGGTTTCTCAAGTTGGTTATTGCAGTAGTCTGCTGCATGGTGTTTGCAGAACTGGACCCTGAAGCTACAGAACAATGCCACCTTATCAGATTCTTATCATGCACACACACAGCATTCTCATACTACCTTGGAGGGCTCCTCAGCAGCCAATGGCTTTTCTTGCCTAGTTTTTCCAAGGTTGGATACACAGCTGCACTTGACATAAAGAGCTATGGATACCTAGGATCCAGCCTAGGAGAAGTCCTGCAAGAAAAGCTGTCAGCTGACAAGGATGAAACCATGTTGCAGCCAAAATGAGGTCCTGTACTGTTTTTAGGGAAGTCGTGAGAGTTTTCTAAGTCACATGGAAAGCATGAGAACCACAAGCATCAAACCATTGTTTCTGCTTTTACTTTCATGTTCCTTGGTACAACCCTGACCTCAAAAACTAGCAGAACCTTTTTCACATCTCACACATGCTCTCCTGAATCATGAAAGTAAGCACAAACAAATGTGCTAAACATTTAAGAAGCAAGAATTGATTCCTGAGGGAAAAGAACTATGTCCTAGCATGTTAGGTTTCAAAACCTGAAATTATTACCAAGTACAAATTGCGCAAAGATGTGTCTGACAAGAATGCCTTTGGCTTTAGGATTAATTCTGAAGCCTTCTCAAATGTAAATTCTACTCTTCTGTATTGAGCTATTTAGAAAATACAATCAGTAGAAGCAGATGTAGTTAGACAGGAGGCTTCAGCACAAGCAGCATTTTGAATGGCAACAAACTGAAACAAGTGGAATGCAAACCCAGTTTTTACAGAAGTAACAAAACACTGCTAAGTTACTCCAAATGTAAAGAGGGGTTGGAGTTCAGTAATATTGTTTAAGGTTCACGCACAAACACTTCAATGGCAGAGGTAAAAGGAAGCAGGGAGATAAATTTCCTCTTGGTATTCTCAGCACACCTGCCACCTTTAATTAAAAAAAAAGTAGAAAGCAAACAGTCCCACTCATCTTAAATGCAACTCACACACCTGAAGTAACACCCAATTGTATGCTCCATTGAATTGGAATGCAGCTCTCTGATAAGTGGTTTTACAGAGATCTGCCTTTTCAGCCCCATTTATAGTTTTGATTTGTAAGTGATCTTCACTTTTTTTACCTATTGTCACCTTTAGCACTGCACTCACTGTCAGTCCAAAAGAAGCTCAAAAAGAGAGATGCCCCCAGCCATCTGTACTGTACAAGTACAGCCTGGTTTGCCTTCTTAGAGAAGCCGCTGTGTACTGAACCTAGCATTGCTTATCCCAGAGAAACCCCTTCCACACCCATGTGCCTGCATGGTGCCTGACCCCAACTGCTTGAGATGCTTCTATTTCAGACTCATTTCTGACCACTTTTTCTCTTAATTAAAAAAAAATAAACAAAAACAAAAACAAAAACAAAAAAAAACCAAAAAAACAAAAAAAAACACCAGAAACCAAAAGTCATCTTCAAACATAGTTCAAAGACACTTTGTAAAAATTGAACTCATTTGGCACAAAGAAGAGTCTTCTGCAGTAATTCTTTGCAGTGTCACAAATGCTAACCTCCTAAAGATCATATTTTGCTGAGAGAAAAGGCAAGAGCAAACATTATTATTTTTTAGGCACAGCTTGAAAGAAGAATATTTCTCCTAGAAGAAACCCATGCACAGGCACCTTAAAACACCTTAGGCACTGTATCCAAGGCATCTGCAATTTTTTCATTAATATTTACCAGAACTAAAACCAGTTACATTTCACCATACAGACAGCAAGTAAAAGACGAAAACACTCACTCCTCAGCCAGCAAAAGGACTGGGTCAACCACTACAGAATAATTTTAAAAAGTGCAAACACTAACTATAATAGTATAATACAGCATCTTTTTTCAACTGTAGTACGGATAAGACTGCATGTAACATGCAGCCAATATAATTTTAATTCAAAAAGGAAACACACTGCTCCTCCCAATAAGAAGTGGTCTGCCTTCTCCTCCTTTCTAGTTTGCATCTTAAAGGTTAATACACAGCCAAGTGCCACAGAAAAAAAGCAGCTAGCTATTTGCTCAACACCAAGTCCTTTGCAATTAAAAAATTTTCACTGAAAATAATTCAAACCTTTGTGGGTTTTTAATCACTGACTTACAGCAGAAAGAAGGAATCCTCAACACCAGTATTTCATATACACATTAGAGACTACACAGTATTGTTACTTCATCTTTAAAAATCATTCAGGCATTGAGTGTTTAGTTAGGAAAGACAAGTTCAAAACTGGAAAGTTTCCTTGAAATACATGAGCTATCTGTATCCAGCCTGACATTCTAATGTGCTGATTTCTAGGTTAATAAGATTTAATCTTATGGTTAAATCCATGGAAACTGAAGCCAACTAGAAAAAAGCTTCAGTATGTTTTAAGCATTGCAGCACTTTGTTCTTGTTTTAGAAGCTATTAGTGACAGCTTGTAGGAACAACTTATGAAAGACTGCTAATAATATTTAAGTACTTTAATCTCCAAGCATTTATCACTAGGTTAGGTTTTGTTTTTAGGTTGTAAGTTACGGATGAGAGCCAGCACAGACACACAGCTGTACCACAGAATGCTCAATATTGCTACTTCTTTATAGGGTTTTTTTTTCAGAACTATTACACAAATTAAATCTACACTTCTAACAAGTTAGGTGTAGTTTAAACTCAATTTCATGCAAAAAAAGCAATATATGATCACCATCTACTTCAGCATTTTCATCTTCTTTGCTTTTCCTTATAAATACTACAACAAATGCCTTTGTTTCACAGCATTTGTCTCTGGATTCTAAGAAGCATCACAGAGTGGCACATGAAGGCTTCCTTCTAAGCAGAGTTACTTGAATGGCATGCTAGGATATTTTTCTCATGTGTACTTAAGCAGCAATACCCACTTGAATGATGCCTAATAGGAGTATTTACTTTTAAGATCCCTATTCTCAGTAAGTGAATTTAAGACATTGAACACTTCTGTATTGAAGTGTTCTGTTCCAGGCATTGTAAAACCAATCTCAAAACATCCAATTTTGTGTGCCCATATAAAGTGTTCTAGGTAAGTCCCAAACATGTATATTGTGAAAATATCAAGATGACAATGGAGCTTTACAACTATTACATCTGCCAGTAAGGCAAAATGGTTCCAGTTCATATGGCAGCTTGGACCCATTTTCAAAACAAGCCCATGAATCTTTAAGATTCAAGGTATACGCATTAAAAAAAAAACAAACCAAACCAACAAAACCAAAACCACAAAAAAACCAAAACCCCACTAACAAAGAAAAAAATCCTGCAAGCACACATAAAAAGTAACATAGAGCCACAAGAAAATTCATTTAAAGTTAATGGGAAAGACTTCATCTTGCACTGAAGCCAATGGATCTCTCTCTAGAACACCCCATCTAACGAAATGAGAAAAAGAATTTGGGTTAGTACCAAACAATTTAGGATTAACTATCTAGTGAGATACTACTGATAAGAGAAAGCCAGAGATTGAACAGATTCTGTTTTAAGACCCTAGTAAGCAGATTTGCAATAATCCAATTAAGAGAATGGTCTTTCATCTCTTTTAAGACTTCCCAGTTCTGTCTCTGTTGCTGAGCTTTATTTCTCTATCACACGAAGGTAGTGTATTTTAACATAAACTTTCTTTCGTTTCCTTCTCTCCCAACCAGATTTTTTTAAGGAGGGCAGCAAATCCCGTACTAGGGTTCATAGCAATGTTTAGCACAGCTATTTTTGCTACTACGCCACCCGTGGCGATCTTTCCAAAAAAAGAGCAGTGAAGGATAACTAACAGTACCATTTGCGTCCACACGGGAGTGCTAAGCACGTACCGAAAATGTGTCCATTTACAGGGCTTTCAAGTAGATGTTAACAATTTCTGGCATTAGGAGTAAGCATCTGTAGCATGACCACTTAGCAGCACATTTCTTTAAATGCTCAAGTTAACATTTAAAATCCAGATTTAAATTTATGTTAGGCATTTTAAGAAAGCCCATCAGCATTTAAATCATACTGATATGCACAAATGTAGTGGGGTTTTTTTACCAAGTGTCTGTAAAGTTCAACATGTAAATGCTCTTCAGTCGAGAGGAGCATGTTATAGTCACAGGAAAGGGGCAGCTCAAGTGACATCTGAGAAATATTACTGTAACTAGAAAAAAATAATTAGTGACACACTGCAAAGTATTGGGCACATACAGACCAAATAATACAACAACCACTTGATGGTAGGTCCCATCCTACCTACTTTGCAAGGGAAGTCCAAGTTTCTCCTTTTTACCTACTGCAATCTCTTGCTTCTTATGATGAAACTACACTTTAAGCTTTGTGGTATTTGTATATAATGATCACCAAGATGTTACAATTAGTAATTTTTTACACAGCAGTTGTGGTTTATATTGGATAAATTACTATAACAGTAAGAACTAGAATATATCATTACTTACCCCATTTTATCACCTTACATATAGGTCTAAAGAGTCATCAAATACAGCTATACCATCCAAGTTTGTAAAAGCACTTAAAAGCTATTGAGAGGATAGAAAACTGGGGCTTTCTGCTGATTAAACACACAAATATCCCTTTGAGAGCTTTCATACAATGGATAAATATTAAGTACTTAAGGGAGGACTGAGCCAGAACAGGAACCAAGTATTTTGAGCTAGAGCTGCTACTTAAACTTTCCTGTTGTACTAAAACAGAAGTCTCTATCAAATTCAGCAGTAGAATAAAAGCTCATGCAGCCCAACAAAAGCAGAGTCTTTACTTGGTTCTATTTCATCATTTTCACATTTTTTTCCTTCTGAAACAGGAATAAGTGTAGAAAACCCCAAACACCTCATCCTGCATGAAGAAAGCCTACTTTGCAGATCTACTACAGAAAACCCACTGTCAAAGTATTTATTTTTCAGCCAACAGATGAAAACCACTCTAAGCTCCTTAGGTAATGCTTTTCATCATGCTATTTTCAAGGCACAGTGACTACCAAAGAAATCCTTTCATAACTCCTAAAAGACAGCATTACTACAAGTGGATTAACATGACCATATTTAAGGTATCACAAAGCTTAGATTTTAGCTTTAAAAATGATGACCTATGAAGTAGTACCGATATAACAAGTATCTTGGGAGATCTACTGACTGGTGTTGAACAGATTCATTTGTATCACAGAGAAAAAGGATTTTCAAAAGTTTTTTGATACTGGCTTTGGAGCTGTTCAAGGTCTGCTAGAAGCAAGCAAATGAAAGCACAGGTATGCCCATATACACACAACTTGAGGGGCACATTATCAGAGTCTGCTAAACTCATTTTAAATAACACAACCAACCCACAGCAGAATTTCTTTCATAACTATGTTTTTCCAAAAATGTATTGAAAGGAACACTTTTTATTGTATTATTTTGATAATGCACAAAAATATTTGAAATGCACAAAAATATTCTCATATACAACGCAGAGAAAAGATCCCCTTAACTGAAAATTATTATATTTGAATACTCTGTATTTTATAACTAACTCTGGACTTTTTAAAAAGCTGTCATTATTTAAATTGTGTTCACACTTGTCACTCAGTTCAAGACATTCTTAAAATATGCAGCATTTCATTTATATTAGTATCACCTCAACACAATGCAGTTTTATCTTTTCATTAGGTTTTAGTGAGTATCTGAAAATAATATTGAGTTAACTGCAGAAATTAATACAGAATATAAATGGCTAAACATGGTGTGCTAATTTTCTACTTTGCTTTCACAACAATACAAAACAACAAACCAACAAGAAACAGGCAGCTGTTAATCTGTGGTTTTGTTACATGTTCACCCCATGGTAGTTTCCCCCATTCTCAGCCAACTTGTTTAGATAGCCATTTTAGCTGGACTGCAGCCCTGGGAAAAAAAGGTAATCTATTTTTGAGGCCTACCACAGTGTCATTTAATATGAAATTATGTTATGTTGTAATTGAAGAAATGCTGCTGTTGTAGATATTTTATCTTAGCACTTTTTTGTTTGGTTGTTTTTTTAAAGTAAGTCACAGAAACATGTGTCAAGAGGTAAAAGACAGAAATTCACTGGAGAACTATGGCTCCCAAGCAAACCTGCTACATAGCTTCAGCAAGAGATTGCTACTAAAATTAAAATGTTTATTTTAAATGTAGCCCCATTTTGGACCTGGCCTTGCATTCCTCAAGCAGGTGAGAGCTGTACAACTTCTGCCTGCATCAAGAACTCTAGGATTACTCTTCCCAGTAAGTAATTTTGTTTAAGGTATGTGCTTTTGTGTATATCTGCATCTATATACACTGACAGGCACTGTAGAGCTATATACACAAGGCCAGTCGTAATTCAAGATTCAGATGTTGAAACTGTCTCTTACTAAAAATAAAATTTTAGGCTCCTTGAGCTAGCAGCTGTTTCTAATTTGCAAATTCATCAGGTAACAACTATTTAAATATAAAATTACTAATAAAAATGTAAAAATTGGTATATAGTAGAATACATGGGAGTTAACAGTGGTAAGTAGTATTTTAGGGTCCTAAGATATTCATACCCACAGTGTGTAAAAAAGCCAGACTTGCTTCCAGCTGTACCAGTCACACAAAGGCCTTACCTTCATTACAAGAATAATGCAACAAACCACTTCCAACAATTGTGTTATTTTTTTATACACCTCAGTATGCCAATATCGTGCGTTTACATGTTAGCATGTTTTTGCCCTTATGCACTGCAGAGCTCTGAAGAGGAGACTTTTGGGTGCTTCTGTGGATGAGTGAGAGATGAGTGATAGTAATGGAAGTGTTACTGTGGTCTTTGGCACCTCTATCTCATTAATAAAGCACAATCCTGCTCCATTTTTTCCTTTAATTAAAAAAAAAAATCCCATCAGTGGTGCTTTTCATCAGCACTGAAGAGTAGAATAGGTCTGTACAGCCAGATGAGAAGAAAACATCTGAAATGCAATATATGTGTCTACAACTGTCTTTTCATCAATTGCACAGAAGCTTGGTCCACTTCTTCAGTTACAGTCTTCTTAAGAACTTTGGTTACAGCATTAATGTTTTGGTAAAAAAAAAATCAAAAATGAAAAAACCAGAGCAGATGCTTTCCTTCTTTTCTTCAGGTAGATTTTTCATTGTCCTCTCCTGTCTTCTGAACCCGCGAATACTTTTTGCATGAAGATTTGAAGCAGCTGGGAGGCCAAGATATTGGCCAGGAAAAACTGCAAGGAACAGAGCCTTGCACATTCTTCTCGAAGAAATAAAATATTGGATACCACCATGCTCGAGAGAGAAAATTCGTCTGCGAAGACACCTTTAAAGTCTGTATTGGCACAAGCATGCAAAAAGGAAAAGGCAACTGTCAGTTTAAAAGCTTAAAGTCTATTACACTGAGTCAAGACAACAGCAAAAATGCAATGCATGTGCATGCATTTCTGCAAAGACTGAGTATTTAGCCTAAAAACACAGAATTGAGACAGATATTAGAGTCCAAATGCATACTACAAACTGAGCATCTTTACCACAAAGAGATGCTTTGTTGCAGTGGAAAATTTGGGGCAACAAAGCACTCAAGACTTTTCAGTATGAGTGCTTTCAGGCATGACATGTTTCCACTGATGAGTAATAGTTGAGAATTAGACTAAATGGGCTTAAGAGCTATGTGCTTCTGCTTGGAAGTGTTGTTGAAACAACAGCAGCAACAACCTTCTGAACTGTGTACCTTTAACGACATTTAGACAAGAATTGTCATTAGAATTGTAGGAATCACCGAATCACAAGGTTCCAAGAGACCTTCAAGATGATCGAGTCCAACCTGTTCCCTAGCACCTCAACTAAACCATGGCACTGAGTGCTACATCCAGTCTCTTGTTCAACACATCCAGGGATGGGGACTCCACCTCTTCTTCTGGCAGACCATTCCAGTACTTTATCACCCTTTGTGTGAAAAACTTTTTCCTAATATCCAACATATGATGCAGCTTGAGACTATCTAGATAATTTCAGTTATGCAGAAATTTTATTACTCAGCTACTGTTTATTCATAAGCTGAGACAAAGAAGGGGTATTCTATACATCAATTACAGTATTAAAACCTCAAAAAATATTTTTAAGAGAAATTAATATTATTTACTTAAATAACAATGAAGTGAAACTCATTGCCCATTCTGATTAAACTTCAATATGGAACATCTTTTGATTCTGAGATTAAGAATATTTAAGAAGATTTAACCTTCAGGCAATTGTAACAAATGCAGGCCACTCACCTTTTCATTAGCCATGGAGTGGTACCACCAGAAGAGCCGTGTGGTGATATAGTAGGCAATGATGACATCTACGGTGTAGTGTTCATGAGCAACCAGGATACAAATGATGCCAGCAGCACTCATCAGCCAGCAGATCAAGTGATACCACCAGAAATTCCGTGGTGAATCTGTGAGACAGGGAGGCGATGGGGAAAAACACAGCAAAAAGTCATCTGTTATTCTAACAGTCCACAAAAGCAAGGGGAAAAGATAAGAAAATTCATTTAAGGCTGCTAAATTTGAAAACACAACTTATATCACACTGGTACAGATGCCCTGCTATCACACTGGTACAGATCCCCTGTTTTGATTGGTATGAATCTACATAATGAATTACACAAACTTACTGCAGTGTTCTCACTTTTTTAAGTGAGCACAAGATGGGTTAGCTAGACAAGACTGCCACCCATTTTCTAGTCAAATTAAGTTTTCCAGTTAAATAATTTCTAGGATTTAGGGTGCAGAGGAAGAGACAAAATTGAGGTAAAACCTACACTTTGCTTATTTAACTTCATTGTAATTAATCTTTTCTTTTCACAGTCTATATTTGAGTAAAATCAAGTCTCTAGAACTGATACAACCTGAGCAGAGATCACAAATTAAACAGAAAGATACTAATTTTAATTATTAGGTTTTAATTAATTTGCATGAAGCCTCAGTTCTATGAAACAAAATACACTGTATAGAAGAGTATGTGAATTTATACCCTTAAATGAAAGATTTAACAAATAGGAGCAAAGCTATTCAAAATGTATTTCAGCCACATCAGTGGAAAAGTTCTCCTGTACTTCTTTGCCTATTGAAAAAATGCCCTGAGAGTCACAATGATCATTCATAACTTCAGACAGGCAAACTGGCTTCATTTCACTCACAGTGGGAGGTTTTGGCACCTCCTGCCTTGTGGGGCAATAGTCAGCCTTTACTTTCACACAATACCAGCAGAAAAGTTACTGATCTCAACAAGCCTACCCAGTAGGCGCTGAGAGGCCTGTGCAAAACAATAACTGCAAGCGTCAAAAAAATTCTCTTAACTCTCCCCAAAACCCTGCAGACAGATCTCCATCTACTGATTTTATTTTTTAAGATGAAAAGCCAAGCAATCTCAAGAAGTTGATGAAAACAGCATTGAGAAAGTCAGACATATCAAGGCTAAAAATACGAACAACTATTCTGGTGAAAAACGTGGTGTGCAGAGAATAAGTGAAAAAATGGCAGAGTACAGAAGGAAGAGAAGAACAGAGCAAAAACTCCACTAAGCCAGACATAAAAACCTCAGAATGCATCTTACACCAAAGACATGTTAGTGGAAGAGCAAAAAAGACCACCACAAGCAGCCTCTAATTCAGAGCAATTATAGGGTTTATGCCCTGGTTCAGATGACATTTTGATTGTTATATGGGAGGTGAAAAAAGGAAAGCTATGCATTTCTCACTTATAGAGCACAATTTCAGTGAAATATATGCCTAACAATTAGGCAGCAGTCAAAGAGCTTATTACAAAAACTTGCATGATAAAATTGCACCAATCCCTTACAATGTAGGAGAAACTAGCCCAGAAAATATTGGGTTGTCTTCATCTTCTCTGGTACAATTGAGTACATGAGTAGCATTAAAATATACCATAACAGAAAAAAAAAAGGAAAACGATGATTCTTAGGTCTAAGAATCGTCAGCATCTTAAACCACTGTTCAAAGAACATCTCAAATCTGTGATTTGGAGTCTATCACATTCAAAAGGCCCTTTTATAGTGTGTTTTTTGTTTAAGGCAGAATGCAGCACGGCAGCACCTTGTCCCTCAACATTTTAATACAAGGGAGGCATCAAACTAATGCTGCTTAGTCTTGGTTTTGTGTCAATGAGAATACAACAATAGGAGGGAAGACTCCAACTCCAAACATGTGAACTGAGAAGGGAACTCCCCACTACACATTTGTGAGTGGCCAAACTCCCAGGATAGCACTGCTTACCATATATTAGATTTAGAAGTCAGTGCTGAGTTCTCTAACACTCCAATAGATGCTCTCAGTGCATCTTCTCAGCACAGAAGAATTTTCCTCCCATTGCCCAGAGCAATGTAAAGCTCAGGGAGAAACCATAACTGCATCTTCTGCCATTTTTTTATCAACTACAAGAAACATTAAGTAGGAGACTTGAGCACAAGACAACCAAAGATCATGAATTAACTTTTCACTTGCAGTAACTAATGTATAGTACACCTGAGAAAAGTAACTCTGCTTCTAGATGCAGTGTAACTGTGCAATGATGCTGTGCTCAAGCCTACAACCCCCTGCAGCTAACCTGCACAGAGCTAGTGTGCAAAATTACTACAGCATGCTTTATCCAAAATTTAAATCATCTGCCAACAAATGATGAAAAGTTATCTTGTTTTAATCAAGCAATAAACACTTACATAAAGATAGAGGTGACATGTTTAGCAATATTTAGCCCTTAATTAAAGCCCATAACACTTTTAGTCAGCCTTACCACAATCCCTAGCAAAGTGATGGAACAGCTCACCCTTGAGGCCATCACTAAGCATGTGGTCAGGAGTAGTTAGCATGGATTCACCATAGGGAAGTCATGCTTAACCAGCCTGATAGCCTTTAAAATCTGGACAACTGGCTGGATAGATTCCAGGAGACAGCTGGATGTTGTCTATGTGAACTTCAAGCAAGACTTCTGACAGTCTCCCATGATAGCTTCACAGGCAAGGCTGAAGAATTAGTGAAGGTGGACGGAACTGGCTGAATGGCAGGGCTTGGATGGTTTTTAATCAGTGGCAGAGTCTACATCAACCCAAAGGCTCATACTGGGCCCAGTATTGTTTAACTTACTCATCAACAACTTAGATGAAGGGATAGAGTTCATCCTCAGCAAGCTGGCTGAGAATACAAAGCTCAGAGCAGTGGTGCTGTGCTGCCCTTCAGATCTCACACAGTAAAGGGATGGGCATGGGCAGAATCTTTTGAAACTCAGCAAGGGCAAGTTCAGGGTCCTGCACTTGGGACAGAAGAACCTGGTGCACCACTACAGGGTGGGGCCAACCTGCTGGAAAGCAGCTCTGCTGAGAAGTACCTGGGGGTCCTGGTGACCAAGCTGCCCATGAACAGCAACCTCATGGCCAAAAAGGGCAGAGTAGCCTGGGGTGTATTAGTAAGATCATTGCCAGCAGGTTGATGGGGGTAGTCCTGACCCTCAACACAGCCCAGTGAGGCACATCTGGAGTTCCAGGCTCCCTAGTACAAGACAGATGTGGAGCAAGTCCAGTGGAGGGCTATGAGGATGATTGGGAAGCTGGAGCACCTCTCTTATGAGGAACAACAGAGGACAACAGGCCTGCTCAGACTGGAGAAGTGTGAGAGGAAACCTCATTGATGTCAAGTCTCCCTTACTGGAAATATTCAAGAACTGTCTGGACACAATCCTGTGCAGTGTGCTCTACGGAAATCTGCTTGAGCAGAAAGGCTGGGCTAGATAAACTACAGTGGTCCCTTCCAACCTTAACCATTTTATGATTTTAATACAGCCACAGCTCCATTTCCACTCAATTTGTGTTTCAAACCCATACAAATATAGGCTGTGTACAACTGATGAGTAACCTTTGGAGGGCAGTAGTTTCACATGTACTTTTGTCATTCATTTTCCTGGTACAATGAACATGAACAAGAAAGTGCATTGAAATACAAACACTTACACTCTTTGATGAACAGATAGACCAGCGTTAATACTACAGTGTGTCCACTAAACAGGAAGTCTCCACACAGGATGTGGGATCCAGTTATGGACAGACCACCACCAGAAATCAGTCGCAGGATTCTCTGAACCTTTGCCTGAGAGTCTCCATTCAACTAGAACACAGAAAGAAGTATCGTAAGCGACTCAAATAAATTTCTTGCGCAAACATATATGGAGTCAGGGAGACGGGGATAAAAGGACAAATTATCTTAATTTTCTTCAGGTTTCTTTCACATATTCTTAAATAAGCATGCATTTCCCAGTTGACAGGTGATAAAGATCAGTTTGGTAACACTAGCATTTGGTCTATACTTTTGATTTATAGTCGGTCTATATTTCATCTATACTTTTCCAGGCTATTTTAAAATATGCATTGTATGAGAATGAGATGCAGAATATACTGAGAAGGTAAACATTAAAAATTTATAAGGTCAGATCTCTCATCACAGCAGTTGACATAATCAATGAAACTCATTAAAAACTGGTACAACCTTCATACAAATTCTGTTATTCTGTCCAGAGTTGACCAGTGTTACTACCAAGTAAAACCCTCCAACTTGCTCCATTTTAGATTAAATTACAAAGTCATTCAGGACTTAACTCATATTTGGAGGATGTACATTTTTAAAGCACGTATTAGGACCAGCTTTTGATTTCTTATAGATACTAGGCAGTTTTATCTAGCTGTTTTAAATTATTCTAGAAAAAAACCCCAAGAAAATGGATAACTGTTTTCCATAATCAGAAAACTATTTACATATTAAAATCCAGAAAAATTATCATCAACTGTTTTTCCAGAGTTCAAGTAATTAATCCTGGTTTCATGCTAGCAAAATGCACTTTCAGCAGAGACATTTGCATTTTCCTTTGATTACCTCTTCTCACTCCTCAATAGAGTCTATTACATAGTCATTCCCCAAGCTGCTAGAACAAAACCATTAAATCTTTACAATAGTGGCAGTTAAATAAAGCATTTTCAAAAAAACACTGATTTGCAAGAGAATTATTTCATCCACTATATCCCCAAGTGTCTCAATGTGTAAGACAACAGCCATGATGCTGTAACTCAAGACTAGAAATCTTATACAAGAGGTGACAAATTTATTCCCCCACTTAAACTGGCAATACATTTTTTCAGTACAGCTAACACAACAGTTTGTTCCAAGGAATTTTAAGTCTACAACTTTTTATTAGTAACCTAAAGTGGGAGTAACAACTCCTTTATGTCACCATTTAACTCCAGCGTCATTAAATTCTTAAAATATTTTTGTAAAACTATTAGTACATCCATGTTTCTGTATGTATCAGTTCATTTATGCAGCTGAATTTAAGTCACATTCCTATACATTCTGCAGGCTGGAAACCAAGACAGGCAGCTGACTTCAGGTATTGCAATAGCTCTTAACCAAACAGTGTGAGAAACTAGGCAAAGCACAGAACAGTGTGGGGTTTTACAGGGATACAGCAACAAAAGCTTGCATATCAGGCTATGAATTACAGTGTTCACCTGGGGTATCCTACCATATAAGAAAAAATATTGCTACAGTATTAAGAGTGATTATCTTGAGCCTCAGAAGCAAGTTGATTGATTTAGTAGCAACACTATTTTAACCTAAGATGTTCTGAAAGGGAGCAGCCAACTCCAACAATTTGAGGCTCTGTTATCACACAAGTTTTGGTTTATCACTACCTATGTTTCTGAAGACATCAACTGAAAGTAATTTGTGTTATTTAGTAATACCTGAAAGATTATCTTCTGTTTGATCTAAGGAGCCATCAGGACTGATGCAGAGACTAAGGCAAGAAGCAAAAGGCAAAGACTCTTACCTTTGGTGCACACTGAAAATGCATTCCAGGCACAGGTAAGGTGGTAACGTACATGGTAATACAGCGGTATAGATACAAAGTTCCCATTATAAAAAAGAACCTGCGTCCCACTATTGATCTGAAAGTAGGGAAAGGGGGGAAACAGATTGAGTACAAATTTTATATGCAGGATATTCAACAGTTATGGAGCTTTAGCTACATTAGAGAGCTGAATTCTTAGAATGAAAGAGCAGCTTCACCCCAGCTCTTCACCCCACACTTCACTGAATCAAGCATTAAAACATCCCTCTTCAGCTTTCAGTCTTGTTAGCTCCTTATAGAGAAACTCTCACCAATTTAAGATGGACTCAGTCCAAGTTACAGGTGTGGCCAGGCAGTTTTCCTCAACTCAATGGCATTTTCTTTTTAGTCCCATACTATAACCCCATTCTCAACCTAAATATATGTAGTTTAGGGAAGACACAGGAGAAAACTTCTATTTAGCTGAAGAGGACAGTGGGCTCTTCCTCAGATTTGAATAAGATTTTCTTGCACCATCATGATTGCCGCAGTTTAAACATCCCCAGGTCAGCAAACACACTTGGAAAAGCCCAGTCTCAGAATTAACTTGACTAGTATAACACAGGTGTCAGAAATTCAGAATTCAAAGACATTATTCAATAATCAGAAAGCCTGTATTTTCATATCTGGCATAGACACACTACAACATTTTGTAAACAAGCTATCCCTTTGTTATTTTCCTGCCAGCCCTATTCCACAATATTGTTAAGGATTTCACTGTATGATTTCTTCTACCCAAAATGAGCAATGTAAACCTACAGCAGAGAAAAAAAAATATTGCTAACTTACTTGTATCTAAGAAACAACCACTGGAATATCCATAATCCAAGTAGTATCATTCCATTTATTTCTGATACAGAAAAAGCCCATTTCACACGATCAATGTAATCAAAAAATTTGTCAGGCAAGGGAGGGCTTAGCTCCTTTGGAGGTACTCTCTCATGGACCACAGTGATCATGACAGTTGTTAAAATCAAGTTGAAGAGAGCATAGACAAAGGCAATGCCTGTTTTCCACCATTCCAGAGGGAATTTGTTCCTAGATTCAGCAGGCATAGCAATCTGGATGTAATCAGGATACTTCTTTGCTGTTTTTCGCAAGCCATTAGACAAGCCCTTTGGTTTGCTAGTGCCATTTTTGTTCTCTTCACTGACTGAGAGAGTAGGTTGTGAGTAGCCATTAGAAGTCTCATTTGGCTGACCCTCCATGTGCTCTTCAAGCTTTGCTGTCTCAATGGTATTCATTTCCAAGCTGTATGGCCAAAGAGGCTTTATTAGTGACCAATTTCTGGGCTCTCTGAACTCTGGTATTCCTCAAAGTCCAATGTTCTTGTTCCTAGATGACTTCTGTAGAACTCTAAAATGCATCCATTGTGCTTTCAAAGGGATTTATGAAGACAAATCTTTCTTCTAGAGCTGAATAATCTGCAAAAAAAAAAAAACCAAACCCAAAACAGATACTGAGAGTCTTCATAACTAGTAATGTGACAGTGAACAAAATATTCTCAGAACAGGCATTTTTAAGTATTTCAATTCCATCCAAGTCTACTTAGAAACACAGTCAAAAGGCAAATTACTGAAATAATTCAAGCCAACTCCTACTTGATAAATCTCTCATATCAGTTTAAGAACTAGTAACAACTTAGGCTTGGAATTTTTTTAAAAGGACAAGACCCACAGACCTTAATGATCATGACATCTCTTGCTTTATCAGTTATCAGAATTAATTCGTATTTGGAGCAACATCCAAATTTGCTCCATATTCACAGCAACATTGGATTTTACTGCTTAGAGATATTCCATACAAAATATCCTGATTTTGACCATACAGTTGCTACAGATCTTAGTATGGGTTTTCCACATAGATCAGACAAATCTTGTCGGTTCAGGTGATGGGAAAAAAAACCAGAAGGGTACTAGGGTACTATAGAATTCAATTTTGTAGGGCATAAATTAATTTAGATTCATCTAGAAAATCTACTCAATTGATAGCTCCATTAAATTTCATTAGATCTAAATGAGTATTCCATCAAGTCAAAAATACATTTATATAGCCATTGTAATATCCACTAAATGTCTGAAATTTCAGATAACTGAGAAATATATCCATGGATTCAATTCTTAGTTATGGTACACTACACAAACAGCAGATGACAAATGAACCTGTGTTTGTCCTTTAGCTACTTTAAAAACAAATCTATTTAGAAGGTTTTTAAACAGCAACAAATAGAAAGTCATTATTACTCAGGATTTATTTCGGGCTGCATTTGCTAATTCATAAACGTTTTGCAACCTAAACAGGTACACGTACATGTTTTATAACAAGTTTTTCTACAAGGAGCAAAGAATGAAGTTCATCTCTAGCAAACAGACATCTCACTAGTAAAAATAAAGGCCATTTCCCCATCTCTAAAGTTCTGTGAAATCACTTACTCACCATAGCTGTGATGTACCTATTTTTCTTACTCTGTTCAGTTCCTATGACAAAAATAGTATTACCATGTACAAATTGCTCCCCATCTACCAGTAAATTGTGATTCTTTCCTATTTTAGTGGTTCCTGCAAGAGAAGTTCAGCACTGCTACCCCCTCAAGTGTCTGCATGCCAACTGCAGGCTGCCAGTTTGCCATGCTTTGTGTGCAATTAATTCACCATGATGGCAGCTGGACCTGCCAGTCTCCCTAACCATACACCACAGGACCTGCTTAAGAACATGCCACCTGCTTACAGGACAATCTAAACCAAAAAGAGCCTGGAAAGTCAAGTGATGGTGTTTTGGTCCTTCCAGCCTCATCCCACCAAACAGAGAAGACATTTAACATTGTCAGCACCTAAATCTCACTGATTTCCTAGCTGCTGCTCCAACCACTGAAAACGAGAAGTAAAAGTTCAGATCCCAAATATGAGGTTCATACAAATAAAACTGAAGACAGAAATAGCTGAGAAGCATTTCTAAATTTATGCCCTAGCAGATTTTCTGAAATCCACTGTCATTGGCTGACCTTCCCTAAATTCCTGATCAACAAGTGTATAACTATCCACACACAACACATACAAACAATAGACACCCAAGAAAACAAGTGGTGATTTTTAAGGCTTTTTCTCCCTCTTACCAGTCATATTGTGATCTCTATCTCCATGAAAAGATCAGCCAGACAACTTCTGATGCTTCATACAACTAAAAATACCTATTTAGAGCATCTACAAAAGCAACAGACTTACTCAAAACTACACCAGAATAGTATTTAAGCTTTCACAAGTCTTTTTCTTAACACACACACTTCTATTCCTTCTGTCTACCACTAAAGTTAAGCATATGACAGAACACATTAGTGACAGTAGAGAAAAACTGAACCCAATTGCTTATGTTTTGGAACGCATGTACCTTACCTGCATCTATTAAGTCAAGACCCCACTTCTCACCATTATGTCACATATAGCAGCCACTGAGGCAGCACTCAGCAAAACCTGGCAAGTTTTACATCCTGTGCAGTTGAAACATTATTAGAATTATGCATTAATTGAGAGCAAGCTACCTTAGTTATTTCCTTCTGTTCTCCACAAATACCTAACCTAGAGTGCCTAGTGCCATAAGTGAAAGATTTTACTTTCAGATGTTTAATGCGATCCAAGCCTTAAAGATCAAAGAGTATCTGAAAGTAGATCAAAGATCTGAGAGTAGAAAGAGTATCTATTGTTCAGCTTACAGATGAACAATAACATAAGAACTTAAAAAGTCAAGTAGTGCTCATGTTCTCATATTAACTTATTAAGCAAAACAATTATAGCTACAGCTTGCAGGAGAAAGTTGTGTTCCTTCCTGGTACTTTTAAATGGATTGTAAGGCATATTGATCTACCACTTCTGATGGCTCATCAAGATTATTTCAAGCAGAGTGCATACTGCAGCCAAAAGTTTGTTTACATTGATAATTAAAGGTGCTATATATCATCAGATGAGTGATGTGTAAGAAGGTCAGTGCTTCCCTTTATAGTACCTTTTCAATCTCTTTCTTCCATATTCTAAAAGAAATTAGCAACTCTATTGATGAAAAAGACAGAAGTCTCTCAGTCCCTTGCTGCCAATCTGACTGGCCAGAGAAGTGACAGATACAGAGCACCACCAGCCTAATCATCCTCTGCTACTGGCTGTAAAAGGAACTCCCCAGAAGTGCACAGGCTCTTCTGCCAAGTTCCTGTCCTCAATTCAAATATAATTCACCACCCAAAGTGGTTCCTTTTAGCTTCATGCTGTCCTTATGATCCTTTTGATAAAATATCCATTTGATTTTTTTTGTCAAATCCAAAACTTCCCAATATCAAAACCAGAAGATGCCCACAAACTGCCTAGGAGAAGGCCTTCAGCAAGCAGGCAGCAATGTTTACACCTGGCCATCCTGCCAACACCTAGGTCTGAAAAGCATACTAAATTGCTCTAAAATAGGGAGCAACTACTGGGGAAGTCTCAAACTCACAAATAACTGGCCAAGTAACCCAAAAGGATAAATAAAATTCCTATAAGGGATACCTCCAAGTTTTAGGAAAGTTTTCCTTTTGGAACCACTTCTATACCTTCTAAAAATGAATGTTACCTTATAAAGAAGCAGAGTTTCTTAAGCAGCAGCTTTACAGCAAAAATCATAACTGCCTCAAGGAACAACATATTTCAAAGAAAATCTTTAGAATTAACAAGATGCTAAAGGAGGAAGTTTTTTTTTAAAGGAGGAAGAAATTTTATCATTTTATCATGGGCTCCTACCTGCTCCCATGCAAACAGCAGCCCTTAGCTCTCTGCATCCCCATTTGACTGTCATTTGAAAGAAAATAGTTGATGGGGGGCACAGCTTTGAGACAAGCACCAGAAAGCATGTCTGCATTTGGCTCTTTATGCTAGAACTTAAGAATAACAGAGTTTTATTTAGCTTGTTAGTCATCCAATTTTCATCTAAAGGTCATTTTCACATAAAGTTAGCTCCCAAACGGTATTTCTCATCCAGTATTGGAACTTGCACATTTCTCAAAATATTTTAATTTCTATAATTTATGAAGGACTGAATAGTCACAATTTGCACAGGGTTTTCAAATAAGCAGTTCTTAACCCGCTGTTTAAACACTACTTGAACAAGAATATCCAAAACTGTGAGACTGATCTATTCTGACATTAAGAGAAGCTATACTTTCATATACAAAATGGAAAAGACTTCTGATAGTACTATTTTAAAGCTTTTTGTTAAGGTTGGTAATCAATCAAATATTTGATACAGCTGAATTTGGTAACTGAAGAAAAGGGGTGTGCAAACAAAGTTCAATTTGAAGTAACTTATCTGTATCACACAGTTACTGGCAGACAATTTTTTTGCTAGCTTGTATTTTCATCAGTTAAATTTTTAGGACTACCTATGGAACTAGAATTTTAAAAAGCCAGGTTACCACTGTCATCTACACAGCAATGAATTAAAACTTCCTTTTAGGGGTTTCTCCTTAATTTTGATTTTTGAAAGCATTCCACATCTCACTATCCATTCCTCCAGGCTATATGTACATCTCACAGCATGCAGGCTGCTGGAAGGAAGAAAAAACAAGCCCAACACCACCCAAAACCTCCAGAAGACAACTGCTGTGATGCTAAAGAATTGCAAGTAAAACAAAGCTGGATTACAGAAGTACCGTTCATTATCATCACATTATCACTTGCAGAAATGTTAGCTTTTTTATTAAAAAATAATTAACTATTTACATCATATGCAGTTATTTGCAGCACTAGAAACAGAGCAGTTACTCCCTGTACCCTGAGAGGGGGATTTGTAAATCCCTCATTTAGGATTACTAATATACCAACAGAAGACATCTTTAAGGACTAAATCCCTACACTAAAGAGAGGAGAGAAAGCTTCAAAGTTACAAGTTATCCATTTGTACAAACCAAGGTTTACCAGTCCTGTGGAATTCTGTTTCTTCATACCTCTTAATAGTAACAAGTATGCTAGGTTTCATTTTCCTAGTAATTCATTATCCAGTGTGTTCTACAGCAGCGCCAGGTTCTGAAACAGTATGTCCCAAAAAGCACCCAAAAAACCCCCATTTTGTAGCACCACAGAATGGTTTGGGTTAAAAATGACCTTAAAGGTCATCTAGTTCCAACTCTCCTGCTATGAGCAGGGACGCCTTCCACTAGAGCAAGCCCTTAAACCCCCATCCAACCTGTCCTCAGAAACTGAACAAGCAAGGAAAAAAAAAGTATCTTTAAGCTCTTTTATCATTTTGAACACTGCTGAGTAGGTTTGCCTTAACTGCTTGAAGGGATCTTCAAACTCTTGAACTGTTTGGTCCCCAGACTCTGAAGGACTGTATTTGGTAACTAAGAGTCTGATGTCCTTTAAAGGTGACACCATGACATGGCTAGATTTTCCTTGTGATTAGTATTACC